CATTTGTGAATCGATTTGGAATCGTTCACGTCCGCGTTCCAGTTTGATGTAAAATGATTGCTAGCAAGCATCCCATCTGGAAACTTGTGATGACGGTGGTCCCCAACCCCCCCCCCCCCCCCCCCCCCCCCCCCCCCCCCCCCCCCCCCCCCCCCCCCCCCCCCCCCCCCCCCCCCCCCCCCCCCCCCCCAAAAAAAAATTATTTAACAATTTTTTCTGCATCCTCATTGACAACAAAACATGATACCTGTTGGGTTCCTCTGCAGGTATAATAGATCACCCAACAACAAGAAATACAAGAACATATTAACATATTACCATATTACAGACTCTGAATCATTATAAATGTTTTATTTTGGAAAATAAGTATTTACTTTTCACTGTTTTACCATTTCTTTATATTGTGCTTTTTAGTAAAATACTTTATTTTCAAAATGATTAATTTTAATGTGTCTTATTCGGGAATACATTTGAAGGAAAGAGAAATAATCTTATTTGGGGTCAAAAAGACCAGTAAAATGGATTTTTAGAGGTAAAGCCATTTTGAACCCATTGTGTAGCTTTTTATAACCTAATAGCACAAACATTAAAAATCATAACTAAAAAACTACTCTGAGCACAACTTTGACTTTTTGCAACAAAAAAAAAAAGTGTTACCAGCTACATGACAAAAAGGTATTTTGATAATGTAACACAATCACATGTTGCTTTTTGTACCGCACACGGGATCATCTGGAGCATGTTAGTCATGCTCAAAAAGAAAGAACAAATCATTAAAATTGTAAATAAAAAAACACATTTAAATATTTCAGGTTATTATTTCAGCTACAGCAGTGATCCTCTACCCAGTGAATTCATACATTGTCTACATAACACATTGTTTGCAAGAGAACACAGCAGTTCACTGTTAATCAGGCCTTTTGATGTGAATTTTACTCTGCATATCTGCATCTCTGTGTTTTATACCTACATGCTTCACTTGGTGTTTATTCCTACAAAAGTCTAAATATAATGACTAATATGATGTATTACTCAGTCAGTGAAGTAGATATTTGAACCTACTTTACTATGTAAGAGATGAGGGAGAAACATTAAAAAAGAGAGTGACTATATAGGATGAGCTCAGTTCAGTACAGTATAATGTCCCATTCTGATGTGGACCGTCTTCTTTCATTCAGGCTTGATGATCTTGTTGAGATTTAAAGCAGAGCAGTTTTGCTTCTTTCTTATGAATACCAGAATTTCATCAGGCGTCCCAACAGTCCTGGGTTTTTTTAGCTTCAGCTCTTCTCTTCAGTTCTTCCAGCTTAAGAACTCTTTCCGTTTTTCTTGTTTCTTTCACTTTCTCAATCAGGAAGTCCAGATGCTGAAGGGTAGACCCAGCTATAGGCTTTAAGGCTATCTCATCAAGAGTGACCACACACTGATAACACTCTTCCACCAGCCTGGCTTTCTCTCTTTCATTTTCCCTTAATTCATTCTCCAGTCTGCTCATCAAACTCATTTTCTCTCCAGACTTTTTCTCATATTTCTTTTTCAGATCTTTGATAGTCTTCTTCACCTTCCAAGTCTTTAACTCATAGATTTTCCCCTCTTTAACATGCAGAGTGTAGTCACACTTTCCAGTACAAACTGTGCACTTTCCATCTGACATGACGCTGCACTGTGAGAGATCTCTGACCCACCAGCATCCAGGAAAATGACAGTTCTCCTCACACACTCTGCAGCAAGTCGCCTCTTTGGTTAAGTGCCACCACTTAGAGTCTATAGGAACCTTTACTTTGTAGGGCTCATCAACTTCATATTCAAAGTTATTCATGTCCTTCTTTTCTTTCTCATATTGTTCCAGAGCTGCTTTTGTCTGTTTAAGCTCATCCTTTCTGAGTTCTATCAGTGTGATTTGATCCTTTAAATTGTTGATGGCTGCTTTCAGCTGTTTGCGTTTTCTCAGCACACTTTCAGTCAGACTCAAATTTATGGGGTTAACATTATTCAGAAAAACAAAAAACTTGTTCAGGGTCTCCTCGTTTTTTACCCATGGTGCCCTGTATGATTGGTATTCTGCTTCATAGTCTGTCTCGTCTTCTTCTTCCTGCTGAAACTCTGCACAGTGAAAGTTGTTAAAGCTGAAGTACACAGGCTTTCCATCAGACGTCTTAGCACATTTGACTTTAGATTCTTTGATGGCTCTAAGGGTGTTTGTTGGCTTTTTTGTGCTGTGTGTGATGAGCAGAACAATGTTTCTCTCCACATCAAAGCCAAATAAAGAGAGAATGGCATCAAAAACATACAGCTGTGTCTCTGTGAGTCGAGTGGTGTCTGCTTTTACCACAAGACACACTGCATCAATTTCATGAACTCCATCTCTGGATCTGAATAACTCATGTAAAGTTTCAGCAATTTTAAAATCATTTTCAGTCCCTCCTGTGCTTCCATATCCAGGTGTGTCAATGACAGTGAGAGAGAACGGACTCTCCTCAACAAACACATCATACACAGTCACTGCACTGGTCTGAGTTTCAGTTTGGTCTCCTTTCGTCTCTATGATCTCACACCAGACTCTGTCTTCCCATTTCACTCCCAGCATGTAGTTGAGCATGGCGTTGATGAGAGTCAACTTCCCTGTTCCTGTTTCTCCAACCAGTAATATGGTTTTATGAGGTTTTCTCTCATCTTCTTTTCCAAATCTCTCTCTCTTCAGTCTTTCTCCTCCATCAATTAGAGTCTTTGTGTTTAGGATGTACCTTGTGAGCAATCCTTTTATTGACCTACTGTTTATTGTAACTTCATTTAGTTGTTTTCCTAATGAAGTGTACATTTGTTCATTCCTACATGAAAATCAGAGGTATGGAGGTCAGTGGTAGTGTAGTATAGTACATCATTCATGTTACTACACAGTATTTTCTGAGTTAAGGTCATTTTATTGTGTCTAAATGTATAATGATTTTTGTGCATGAATGCAAAAGAATATAGAAATGTTTTAACTTTAAATTAACTGCATAAAAATCTTGTCATTGGTGTTGTGTAATTAATGGTTTCCGTCCATTTTAATAGTCTGATCAAAATCAATGACTTAGACAATAGTCTGCGTTTCAAAATAGGGCTGAATGATTAATGGTTTTTACATCGAAATCACAATTTTTTAGGAGCTGTGATTTTGCTTATACATTATAAATGCTACATTAAATTTTAAGAGGGGCATTGGACTGAAGCAGGCAATGAGAGCCAACATAATGTTGAGAATGTTTTACTTCATTTAAATTAGTGAGTTTTTCATTAAACATCTTAACTGAAAAAATACATGAAGAAAACTGCCAAGCAGTAACAGTGAGAAACAGTGTGAATAAAAAAAAAAAAAAGACAACAGTGTTTTTACCATGTGCCTCATCAGTTTGTATACTAAATGTATTCTGAATGCCTTACTTTTTATGTACTGCAAAGGAATACATTAATGGATACTTTTAGGATAATGTACTCAGTATTCATACTCTTTCAGAGTATTTTGCCCAGCCTTGGTGGTCATGCACAGTGTTTCTGAACTCCTGAGGAAGCAGCAGCTGTTGGCAAAGTGGTTTGTTGGGTAGTCTGTACACCTTATAGAGGACTCAAGGACTCAAGCTTTACCTTGTCCTACTGTCTCAGGGACCTATTGTGCTTGTCCTGTTTTTCCCTTCCCTTTAGTGTGTTATATAGCTTTTTGTGCATGTAAACGGTCTGGAAAGTCACAAAGCACAAAACACCAGAGGGAGTAACTTTCTCCCACAGAAACCACTTTTCTCAGCTGTCTAAAACAACAAGTAACACAACACTTATTGCCTGCCTACTGGCAATCTTGGCACACCCTCATACACAGAGTTCTACTCTACTTTTAGGATCAGACTCTGGCTCAAACTAGCCACGTTTACATGCAGTTTAATAATCCATTAATAATCTGACTAATAGCTCAGTCTGAAGAGAATATGTCCATGTTTACACCTCAATTGGAATAGACTAGTCCGATTGAGGCTATTTGTAATATGATTTCTATCAAATACAAGTTTTGTATTCTACTGAATACAATTTCGATTGAATGTGATGGCTAGTCGTGTAAACAATCCATTAAATAGAAGAATAATAACCATGTAAACTCCTGTATCTGATTACATTCCCAATTGGAGAGTTTTAGCATGTGCGCGTGTGTGTTTACGTCATAGCCAAAGTTTATAACGTTCAACATGGCGGGAGCAGCAACTGGTCTGCAGAGGAGATGAAGTTTATGCTCTGATCTTTAAAAGACGGTGGTGAGACGGGCTTCCAGCTTATGCGTCTCAGAACATGAAGTCTTCCTCTCGCCTTCTTTAATAAGGACATGTTAAGTACGTTTCCTGAGTCTGACATAATGTTAAAGCAAGTAAAAACACAAGCACTGCTTATTGTTGCTCGTCTCACTCTGACGGGACTCACGTGATACTCGTTGTCAGGGTAACGTCTACACTAAGGTAATTTTGGACCTGATTAACTGCAGTGCGTATGTAAACAGAGATTTTCCATCAGATTATTGAGTGGACTGAGCAGATAAACACCTCAGTCTTAATCTGTAATTGGAATGTATTCGATCAGATTGGCGAAAATCTTTGCATGTAAACACAGCTAGCAATACAGAAGAACCACCATTGTAAGAACAGCCACAGCGGAGTAGGCGGAACTTCTAGTAGGATGCCCCTCTCAAAGATGACCAATCAGAGCAGAGTGGGCAAACTGACCAATCAAAGCAAACTGGACTCATCGGGAGGTGAAGAGTTTTGGGAGAACTAAGGCATGTAAATCTATTCTAGCAGACCCCAATAACAAAATTATGAACAATGAACAAGAGCATAATAGGCCCCCTTTAAGAAACCTCCAGAAACTTTTTCTAGCTGTGTTACAGCTTTATGTCCTCAGACCTGCTTGGCTTTAGCATTTTGTTGTCAGAAATCACATAAGTTTGTTTCTATGGGTGTAGTTTTCCTAGTTACCGTGAGTATGGTGTGATCTGATCTAACAGAATCTCCATTGGGAACCATCATGAAGATGGTTTCATTATGAATTTGCCTTGTAATCATATTTTTTTGATACAATTATATTGTAGCAACTAGTGTTGTAGTACTGGAGTACTGGAGTGCAGCATATCAAACCTGGATTGCAAACATGCTTTCTGAGTTTTACTTTGTACCTTTTTGTGCATCTACAAGCCAACCTTCTCTATAATTTCTCTCTTTATACCATTTCTGCCTTTTTTAATAATCTTCCTCATCTTCAAAGATTTTTTAAGTTTTAAAAATAACGGCGACTCATTTCACTCCTTAACCCCCCACCTCTCCAATCATGTCGAAAAACTCGGAAGTGCGCCCTCTCATGGTTACAGTGATGCTTTTGCAGTGGTGTCACTTTTGCAGTAGAATACACCACCAGGGCTGTCGCTAGAACATGGAAGTGTGAGAATGGTGTATTATTTTGAAAATGTATTGAACATTTCTTATACTTCTATCGAGAAAAGTTATATCACAGTAATTATCGCTATCATTTTATTGCCCAGCCCTAACTGCTAGTAACAAAAATTATTCATACATTTTAACTCATCACTAAGCTGACATCACTAACAATTACATTGTTTACAAATCTGTTGATAGAACATCATTAGACATAGTTAGTCTTTGGCTATGTTCTGCTTAACTCTATCATTAACTTCTCCCAACAACAGTCATTGTTACTGTAATACATAACAGACAATGTTTTAGGCAACATATTTAATGTTCTATTTTACAAAATATAATACAACAAAAAGTTGGGACGCTGTTCAAAATGTAAAAAAACAAAATGTAATGATGTGCAGATCATTCAAACCCTATAGTTCATTGAAAATAGTGCAAACACAACATATCAAACGTGAGACATTCTATGTTTTTTTGAAAAATATATGCCCATTTTGAATTTGATGCCAAAACACGTTCCAAAAAGTTGGGATGGGGACAACAAAAGGCTGGTAAAGTTGTGTAATACTAAACACCTGGTGGTTGATTGACAACAGGTCAGTAACATGATTGTGTATAAAACGAACAAGATGGGTTGGGTTCGCCACTTTGTGAAAGACTGCACAATCAAATAGTGCATTCATTCAAGAATAACATTTTTCAATGTAAAATAGCAAAGAACCTTTGCTTTTCATCATCTACGATACATCGTAACATTAAAAGATTCAGAGAATCTGGAGGAATCTCTGTATGCAACGGACAAGGCCAAAACCCAGTACTGGCTGTCCATGATCTTTGGGCCCTCAGGTGGCACAGACATGATTAATAGGTGGAAATCATTGCATGGGCTCAGAAACACTTCTGAAAACCACTGTCTGTGAAAACAGTTTGGCACTTCATCCACACATGCAAGTTAAAATTCTAAAATGCAAAGAAATAAACTGTACATAAACAGGATCCAGAAATGCTACCACCTTCTCTGGGCCTGAGCTCATTTAAAATGGACTGAGGCAAAGTGGAAAAGTGTCCTCTGGTCTGATGAATCAACATTTGAAACTCTTTGGAAATCATGGATACTGTGTCCTCTGGGCTAGAGACCACTCAGCTTGTTATCAGTGCACAGTTCAAAAGCCAGTATTCATGATGGTATGAGGTGCATCAGTTAAATGGTATGAGTGACATGCACATCTGTGAAGGCACCATTAATGCTGAATGATATATGCATGTTTTGGCATCATATGCTGCCATCCAGACAACGTCTTTTTTCAGGGAAGGCCTTGCTTATTTCAGCAAAACAATGTAAAACCACATTCTGCATATATTATAACAGCATTACTCCATATTAAAAGAGTCCAGGTGCTAAGCTGGCCCAGTCCAGACCTGTCACCACTGAAAACATGTGGCGCATTATGAAATGAAAAACACAACAAAGGAGACCCTGAACTGTTGAGGAGCTGAAATCCTACATCAAGCAAGAATTGGAAACCATTTCACTTTCAAATCTACAGCAGTCGGTCTCCTCAGTTCTCAAACACTCACAGAGTGTTGTTAAAAGAAGAGGTGATGAAACACAGTGGTAAACATGCCCCTGTCCCCACTTTTTTGGAATGTGTTGTTGGCATCAAATTCAAAATGGGCAAATATTTTTCAAAAAACAAAATCCTTAGTTTCAACATTTGATATGTTGTCTTTGTAGTATTTTCCTTTAAAAATATGGTTTACGTGATTTGCACATTGCATTCTATTTTTATTTACATTCTGCACAGCGTCCCAACGTTTTTGGAAATGAGGTTGTATAATATAATGTAATATAATATAATGACTCGGACCTAGCTACAACACATGTAGCGACCTGCTACTGTCTGGTTCAGCCATGGATGCGAGGAGGCCCATAGGAGATCACCGGACACACAGTAAGAGAGACTTAAATCTTGTAAATAGTTGTGACCGTGTGGACATTATGTGTGCAGCAGGGTTTGTTGTGTCATTCTGTGGTAGACTGCAGAGTGGTTGGGGCATAGCTCCGGATTATTGAATTATAGGCCCCAGGGCACAAATATCTGGTGGGCCCTTACCTGGCTACCTTTTTTGGTGGTCAGGGAATATTTTTATGACATTACAGCAGGTTACATGAGGCCTATGCAGCAACATGATGGCAGCATAATAACCACAGTGTTGGGCACTATATGCTGAAATATATTTTTATAACGTATGTATTTATTCATTTAAACTTTATTTTATTTTATTATTACTTTTGTTGTAGAAAGAGCATTTTGGATGTTTGTGGTATACAAAACTAAAACAAGGTTATCTAAGTGGTTGTAGAACCAAGCATCTTG